CAAGAACAAAATCTAGCTGTAAAAGTAAGAAATTTATATTTCTAAAAATACTGGTTTTGCAAATGGAAAAAGTAGAAAGTGCAGAGACATCTAAAAGCAATCCAACTAGGCCTAATGTTACATTTTAGAATAAGAGACCATTTATTCATCTTTAAGGAGTAATAAAAGAACTCCACATGACGCAAATTTGCAAGCCTCTCTTTCATAATACAATGACTTCATTTTTTTAGTCTAGCTATTGCCTGCTAACCTAATACATAGAACGACCCATGTCTGTCTGATCCCCTCTTAATCCTGTTAAACACTGTTAAGGAGGCCAGGGTAATACCCAACTTCCCCTTCCAGGGTATGTAAGTGTCTATGGATTAAAGGGGAAGGTCAGAAGAAAGAAGACATTAAATAAAACTTGGTTCTACAGAGCATGGTCAAGTGATAATTACGTGATAAATATCCTACACTAACAGCAAGTGTTATTTCATCCCTGGACCAAATGCTAACCCTGACCCTGACACTAACCTAAAACCGAATTGAGACCAGAACAGAATCCCTTTGACAAAATAAAGATGAAATAATGCCTGAAGGAAATGTTCTCAAGGAAATGCCTGTTCACCTAAAAAGTTACCGGTACATAATTTGCCTCATCATGACTTTAACTGAGTATAACTGATCAGGTCAATTATAATCCACTTATGGACATTGATATAAATGGATACTGAAATCTAGATCAAAACATTTTAAAGATATCCATATTTCGAAGCAATAAGACAAGACGAAATGTGGTTCAGCGTATGGTCCTGCAACTTGGTATTCTAGGTTCAAGACTGAGCAAGCACACTTGTGCCTTTGGTGTAAGCTGTAAGGTATTAATCTCTCTCTCTCTCTCTCTCTCTCCCTCTCCCTCTATTTGACTTTAACTAGCACACAAGTGAAATTCAATTTTCAAACAATTTGTTGGCTCAGGTACTTAATAGATTAAACACTAAACAGAATTTGCCTGATAAGAGTAATTAGCAGAATCCTATATGAACTACTTTTTATTTAATCTATTTGGACATATTTGGGTTAATGCATTTGCAGTATTCAGATACAACCAGGCTTAGCTTCATCACATGCATAAAATTCAATTCAAAATGAAACTGGGTTAACTTGGTTTGGGCAACTGCAAGGGAAATTGATATTTAACTTCATTTTATGTCAATTGATTAAATTTTGTCTCATTAATCTTCTAATCTAGTAATTTTGTGCAATATTGGGGAAACAGATCAGCGATCATTGATTATGCAGCTAGGGCAGGGAAAAAGTGAATACAGATTTCAGCATGTAGTATATACATCACCAAAGCTCTTTTCACTTTCCCTAACTTCTATTTTTGTTTCTCCTCGTTGTGAAAAGAAATCTATAAATCTATAATAAACAGGACAGTAATTAAGACATTATTTTGAAATAGACAAAAAAGATGGATTCATGTGTGGAATATATTTGGAAATTTCTAGAAAAACAATCATTTGTCCTGCTAGATTTATAATTTGGCCACTCAGGATTTCCAAAGTTAATTGGAAAGAATTTGGGAATCTTCTGCTGAGAGCTAGAATGAGTTTAATTCATTAACTTTAACACAGAGTTTACCTTCTTCTGACTCTCAACACATGACAAACTGCAAATCATAGAAATGTGAATCGACCTTTCACTTATAAAGCACTGATTGAATTTCCATTACAACTGCTTCTACAAATTGTGTCTAAATTAACAATACCAGGGACTTTATCATCTACACAGTCTCTCATCCAGTTTATACCTTAAAAATACTACTGTATGCTTTTATATGAAGCCAGTGTATATAAATATGTTTTTAACTTTCAAAATAGTCTATAGTTCTTTTATGTTTTAAATGTTTTGTTTTGAGTATAATCAATTAAAATCAACTCCCTTTAACTACAGAAATGGCTGTACATTTGAACATTCTCACATCGCGTCTGCCAGCTGTGGCTTGTCATCTTGTATGACAGGGATCATCTTTTCCCGTTGCGCCCACGATGGAACATATGCTTGAGGCACCCTTGTAAAAATCCACTTCATCTAATTAATCTTTTTTCAACAAGGACGGTGTTAGCAAATGGTTTGTTACTTCAGCTGTATTAAACCGAATTAGACGTCATGTTCATGTTTAAGAGAAACTTTAAAATAAGAGACTCTTATTCTAGATAGCACATCTTGGCACTTCGAACAAATGGACAAGGGTAAATATTAGTAGCATAGATTGGTCGCCAGTGTTACAAGACATTAGCACAAAAAGACGTAATTTCCTTAAAAGGGATCGACAATGAGTCCACCAAAACTCCCCTTTCAATACTTTCTAGAACAACATTAGGTTAAACAATGAACTCAAATTCATATCCGAGCAACGTCCGAGAGCCCATTATCATTTGAAGCAAATTTCTGTGTTGTGATGGTACTGAAAATTGGAGATGGAGACATACATGTCGTTAGTACACTTGCCTCTAAACTTAATGAAATTTAGAATGATGTGTCATGTATTTTAGTTTCTATTTGCTTTATTATATTTCCAGTCTTTTGTTCGGATCTCCTTTTTTTCTAAAATATAGTAAAGAGGACTGCTCACTAAATAGAAATGGGGGAGGATAATCTTTTTCACAACCCAGCTTCAAATTCGATGGTGTATATAGACCTAATAAAATTCTGCTAATAAATATCATTATTTGAAGTGCAAACATAATTTTTATATTCATAATAAATCTTTACAAATGCACTATTAAAAGCTGATGTTTTGAAACTAGGATAAAATTGGTGCCCTTTTAGTACAGTTACAAACAAAACAAACCAGCTTGACCAGATGGCAAGCTGCACTAGAGCAAAACATGATCAAAAGGTCTGTCAATTCATGTACGCAAACCGTAACAAGGTGTCTCATGTTCGCACAGCTTTCCTGAGAAATAATGGTCTAAAAATAACGTATAAAAGCAGAAGTGATGATGTACCATCCTGGGAGCTAATTAGACGAAGAACAGAACAACAAGCCAGGCACACGTGATCAACTAAATGGGCCGATACATGAACCGAAGAGCAAACGTCCAATAATAGATTGTATGCCATTAATTATACGCTTACTATGTGAAGTACTATTTTTATGCTAATTTGTAAGACAAAAACTTGGAGACCAAGAACAAAGCAACAATCACAGATAGAGTTTCTTTGGAAACTAATTATCTACATTTGGCACTCTTAACCCATGCAGGTGAGATTAACAGGTAATAGTAGAATGTTTAATCACCTTATGGTAGATCGATTGATGCTAAGGAATTGAATCACTGTACCCCAGTACAGTTGAACTAGAGAGATCTTCTTCTCCTTTTTATCGATTTTTTTTAAATGTCAATCTGTGTACTTCTTAGCTGGTACCGTTACCAAGACAAACCACACATGTCACAGCCAGCTGACTCCAATTTAGTTTTCATCTTAAAGTGATTCCTGAAAGGCATTTTGTCAGGCATCATCCAGAGGCAATTGTCGTAACACAATTGAATCAATGGCTGCTGGCTGTGACAACTGACAGGACTACACTGTGTTTTCTAAAGACCAGATGAACAGCTGGCTTGATAGGATACAACCAATAGCAATATCAACAACAGATCATGAGAGAGAAGAGGTACCAAACCAAGAAACAAAGTACAATATATGACAAGAAACATAAATATGAAGGGGATTAGGGGTGGCTTAGAAGTTTAGAGAAGAGTTTACCTACAGAACAATTATATATATCATAGGTGTAATTTATAGATGTTTCAACGATTCATTCTGTCCAAATGACCTCTTGTCCTTGATTAATCGATTGGTCCATATGCTTCAAAAACTTGTTTACTTCTTAAGCATTCAGATCACGTTTCTATCTGGTGAGCTAATGGGGTGATGCTTAAGTCCGATTAATAGCACTCTGCTGCCTGATTAGGACACCTGCCTTCACTTAATCTCTTTATGAGATCACAAGACTAGACAGTGGATGCCTGATGAATGAGTAATGATGTGACTATAGGCCTGTCTTCATCAGCTCAAAATTGGCAAATAACCCGCTATTTTAACTATCCTGATTGCAAATTATCCAGCTAATTTGCGTTTTCATCAGCCCGCAGTTGCATTTAGCGGGATATTTGGTCGAGATAATCATACCAAGATATCTTGGGCTATTTGGCAAAATATACCCCTTTTTGTCCGGTGCGTCTACACTAGCCTGAAGACTCACACTGTGCGCTAACGCTGAGCAAAATATCTCGAGGTCGGGTCTCGAGCTGATGAAGACGCGATTTGTCACTTCAGGCATATTTCCCAAAACAGAAATAGCGGGCTATTTAGCAATCTTGAGCTGATGAAGTCATACCTTATGAGCCTCTCCTGAGTGATCAGATATTGCCTTGGGTTTCACCCTGGTAACACGGTAGGAATTAGACGGATGGGAGAGGTATCATTCTCTCAACTAATCTTGATTTAGATAAATGTGCTATTTACCTAAAGTTAAAATATATGAAGACGAAAAAAACCAAGATGCAGTGACGTAATGTCGTACAAAATCTTACATTTGCATGCTGGGCTTTTTGTCCAATAATTGTTAAATTACAACTATCAGTCGGATGATTTTATTTATTTTTGCCCAGGAGCACCTTTTGATCCCTACCCCCCCCCCCTTTCTAACCGGAAAGAGAGAGGGTTATATTTCTCCATAAATGCTGACCTAGCTCCCTGCATAGTGAGCAAGGATTGATGATAGATAAGATAGTGGTGACGCTCTGGTTCAGCAACAAAGATGGAGGGAGATGAAATCAGATCATCTCCTTCTCACACTCCTGTCTCCTTTGATCTTACATCTCCCCCTCCTCTCTCTCTCTGCCTCTTACTCTTTTACCATTCCATATTTGAATGGGTGGCCCGTTCTCCCCCATCCCGGGGAAGCTACGCCACTGAAATGATAAATGAGTTGAGTTTCTATTTACCTGTATGCTAACCTCTTCTTTACACTGCTTGATAGCTTCGCTCCGGATCACTTCAAGCTTGGATAATACCTTGAAAAAGAGAGAGAAAGACAATGAAAAAAATAGATTAAAAACAAAGTTGAAAGCTGGTCATGCGATTGCATTGTGAAAGAAAAGGTGTGGAATGGATCAAAAAAATTGGTCATGTAGCATGTAAGTATTGGTGTGTACTGCAAGGTTCTGGAGTCATCAAAATCATAATAAATTTGGCCCAGTCTTGGTAAAGTAACAAGCCCTGTACACAGAAAGATGTATATAGGACTACACAAATGGTGTCGGGCCTACTTACCTTGATTTCCTTATCTTTCTATGCTCATTACTCAGCCAATATACATTTTCTATCAAAATTGTTTGGCAAATGACATTTATTTGTAATCTTGAACATTCAGTGTAAGTTTCGTTTGATTCTGTGAGAATTCATTTCTCTTTTTACCAGAAGTCAAGTTTATCTTTTATTCAAAAACTAGTTCAAAATGATTTAAAGGATTATCTTTATGTTAGTTTGGATTAGGTCCAAGATTAAAATTGGGAATTCCCTAACTGTTTGAAATTTACAACAAAGCAATTGTCATCTGTACTTAATGTATAAATGTCAGATCTAAAATCCATCTTGGATTGCAGACTCATTTTTGGCTAAAGACTAGCTCTGCGTTTCACCGTTACACTACTTTCCCTCAAATATTGCTCTTGTTGCCTGTTAAAATAAAAAATCAATCACAGAGACAGCAAATTGTAGAAGAAAAATCGATACCAATTTAATTTTTGACAAACTGTCATCAAATCCAATCATCAGAGAATTCTGAAGGACAAGTTGACACACTACATGCATTACCAAAGAGTAGGTGCTATGCTGCCCTTCCATGACAAAACCGCATAACTGACATTTCTTACAAAATTGAATTATTTAGTGTGGGTGACTCAGAACATCAAGTTCCACATGTTAAACTAAAATTTAGGGTTAAAAACATACTGTAAAAACCTATTTCAATAAGTCAACACTGAAAAAAAAACATTAAAACACTTTTAATAGTAAATTGAATTGCATGTTTCCTCCTATATCTCAGAAACACTAAAATGTCAGTTATGCTGTTTTGTCATGGAAGGGCAGTATGGGTCAAAATCAAATGTATACAGATTTGTTTACAATGAAAGACCTTCTTGCACATCAACCCTATATATTAAGAAATATTTGCCACCTTCTGAATAATTATACATAGCGAGGCACCTAATTATGTAAAAACCAATCTAAATCACAGGTAATTTATTCTAAAAATTACTACGGCTGCACAGACTGTATACTCCTTGAAGGTGAGGAAAGGTGTCATGGCCTTTAAACTTTATCCTACTTCATCCTACTTCATTTACATTATCATTAGCACTAAGGCTTTTTTACTCTGGAGAGTGAAATCAATAAAAAGGCACAAGTCCTTTGAAAAAAATCAAATCCTAAGTGTATCAATAAGATAAAAAGTAATTGTCACAATCTACTCCACACTTCAAGAAGTCCCTCTTTGCTGACCTCGTCTTGATAGCTATTAAATGAAAGCCATTATGGTGAGTGGACTGCCATTAGTGTATTGGCCAAATCTGGAGAAACAATGTATTAACCCCGCCTGGAAGTGTCACATCAAGCCAGGTGATTGATGCTTCCCTTTAAGGCATGATTAACTTTTCACCAAACATGCAGTCGGTTGAGAGCCAGAAGGGTGTTAGCTCTATCTAAAACTAAATGAGTTCACACCCATCTTTGCTTTCTCCATCAAAAAGTAAATGAGTTAACACATTTGTGGCTCGATATATGCCATAAATCATACAGTATTGCTTTCGTAGCGGCATGTAGTTAAAAAATATGCAATTTAGTATAAAAGAGGATGTTGCTATATATTATGAGAGATGGGGATATACCACTTAGAAATGCTTGTAACACCTTTACGAGAAAGTATCTAAAAGACAATAACCATATTAATGCCCTGCAGGATTAACTTTTTCCTGGCCTCACAATAACTGGATGGATGCAATGCTGTGATAATTGCAATTTGATAGAGGCAGGTGGTTATTGCTTATTTTGACTGAAAAGAAAGACCTATAAGTCAAATAATTTGCATTAGTTTGAGCATCATCTAACATGTCCCTCGAAGGCATAATGGAATTCAGAGTAAAGTTATCAGCTTATACAAAGACGTCTTCACTACAAGAGACAGGTAGGTCAGTGCTAAACAAATAAGATTCAAAAGCTAAATGTAAGGTTCAATACTGTGCATTTTTAACTTACACCTCATCTAACATGTCCTTTAAAGGCATGATAGAATAATTAAGGAAAAACATCAATTCAGAGTGCCCTTAACCAGTGCATGATGCTGCAACCCTGTGCCAAACAAAACTAACTACCGGTATAGAGAGAGATGTGAAGTTCACTATCTCATTCTTAACTTGCATTTCATCCACCGAGTCCCTTTAAGGCATATCAGAGTTCAGAAGAAAATACATCAAGCTCAGACAGAGTTGTCACCGTTGGGGCACGAAGCATGCTACCCGTGCCGAACAAAATTGCCGCCAAATGGCTGCAATATTACTCGCCTGACTGCTCCAGTGCTCCAAGCCTTCCCCAAGGAATACCTTTGTGTAAATGGAAGCAACCGAGAAGTCGATAATTACAATGCGATGATGGTCTTTGTTTGAGGCTTAATACCTTTCTCAAAAGAGGTTTACTTTGGAACGCACCTTGCTGAGAGCTGGATAGTATGCAACACTGAAGTCAGATCAGATTTTTCTTGACCTGACTTCAACTCAGGTCTGATTTTGGCTGTCTAAAAGCACCTACCGTATTTTCCGGCAATAAGGCCGCACCGCCGCATAGGCTGCACCCCCAACTTTGACATTTCAAGGAGGGGGGAAAAAAAGAAAAAAACAGACAAAACAAAATAATCATAATTTTCTCGAAAACACTATTTTTTTTTTACAAACTGATACCAAATTCATCCATATTCTTATAATTTACCGAACACACCGCAATCTACAGAAAAGCATATTAAAGAGCAAAACACTTTCCAACTAGGTGAAAACTTGTTCTGCTTCATAGACAAGAAGCAAACCAAACAATAGTATTTCATTAGGATTTAGACGCAGTAACAAAAGGCATATTTATAGAGTTCGCGGAAAGTAGAATTGAGAGCCGAATGGGGAAAATATTTGATATTTACAAATACGTATGTATGGGGGTAAAAGCCCCTTGGGAATGAGCAGAGTTAATAAGCTAATGCGAACATGGCTTAACTTCAGCCTTTATAAATAAGAATATCAGAATCAGAATTGGATAAGAGACATTAATAAACAACTCAGCTTTCAATGATTCATCAAATCTGACAGGGCAAAAAACTGCTAATGTCATAAAAGGTTTAATAACTATTTGCTTATTCATGAGACGTATAAGGGGTTTTCCCTGAAAATCAATTTCTTAGAACAGGAGTGTCTTTGTTTATCTTTTGCTCAAAGTTTCATCATAACCTTTTAAAAATTCTATACCCCTTTGAAAATTAATTTCTCTCTCTCTCTCTCGTCACACTTTGCTGCTCATACATAATGTTCTTGCTGTCTTTCTTAGATATGAACATATGACTGCAGTGGTGGATCCAGGATGTGTTTGTTTTTTTGTTTTTTTTTGGGGGGGGGGGGGGTGGGGGTGAGATCTCCACATTCCTTTCTCTTTATAAAATGAACAAAAGTTTTCCATTTCATCTAAGCAAAATATCTTTAATGAAGGCTCAGGAATGATATTGGTAAGCCTTATAATTTGTTTTATTAAATTCTTTGTAAATAATGAAAACAAGACTTTTTTTGGTGAGAAAAAAAATTATGATTGATTCTTTGTACAAACCCCATATATAAACACAACATAATAGTAAAGAAATATTGGTTTGCAATACTTTACATTGTTTATTTTTTTAATGAGCCATCCTTTGAAACCTTTCCAGGCTGTATAAAACAGACTTATCAATTTAGTTTATTTTTACCCTATCTCTATAGTTTGGATGGCACTGAACACTTTATACAAGAAGCCTATGGAAGGGCCTCCTATAAACCCTTCAGAACATTCCACCAGACTTTGATCTTGGTTCTCTATTACATGAAGCCAAAATACCCTCATAATCACTTAATCCATAGCATCTGAACACCTCCAAATACAGGGAGAGGGGTATGCTGGCATGGAATAACCCCTAAAGCTTGTTGGCATGCCAGGCAATAGCTCTTGGCTCAACATTTCATTGTCACATTTTATGCTGACCTTTAGCGGTTAAACATATAATAATTACAGACAGGGAAATACTAACAGTCAAGTCAATTTAGTTAAAGGCAAGGATCATTAAGGTAAATAAAGGAGACAAGTCATTACAGTAAGAATTTGAATGGCATGTCCTCACTCGGGGTCATAATAAACTCCTAAACCATCTCAGTGTGAACAACATTCTGAAGTTCTTTCCATTGTGTATTATACCTTGATCCTTATTATTTCACCCATTACAGGATACTCTCCACATATCTTTGTACCTAAATACAACCAGTTTCTCTTTTTAAAACCTGAATTAATCATTTTGGCAATTAGATGCATATATATCATAAAGCGCTTAGAGACACTGTCAAAGTAATAAGCAGTATATAAACTCATAATATTATTATCATTATTACAATCCAAAGATATTACTTCTGTCACGTTTCTAAATAATATTCATATTATTCATAGGTTTCTTCATAGTAAAAGAAAATGGCAGGAACAACTAACTATACGCTAATGGGGATCTCATGTCCTTAACTCTCTAACCTAGCCATCTCCTCCTTCACAATAAAATACATATACCAACATGCTAAACTGATGGCAAAAGGATGAATAAAGTCATGCATGAATCAGGATGGGTAAAGCACTTTCTAGACAGAAGTCAGATCTAAAACATCTCAGGAATTTCAGCCCAGGAATGTTACTTGATCAAGGGAATCCTATGGACCCCTTGGATGTAGCTAGGCCTCCTCAGAGTCTAATCTAGACCTGTATTTGACCTTGGTCTCAGACTGATGAAGATTCAAGTTCGCAGTACTAACGACCTTGCCATGTGTGCGAGGCAAAGGTTTCCTTATTAACAAAAAGCCAAGTGTTAATTCAGCCATGGACCCTACTCCACTATTCAACATGTCGTCTCACCATCTTCCGCTTTTCTACACATTAGATGAAAGTTGGAATTGGTATGGTTCAATGGGTGACATTTTACTCCTAAAATGTTATAGCATTCATTGAGACAGTTGCAAGTTTGTCAAAAAGCTGTTGGAGGAGGGTTCTTCTACTTTTGTAAATTATGAAAGTACACAAGGTACTACCTTCAGTTACCCTAGATCAATAAAATGTAATAATTCCTTGCATGGAATCAAGTCCATCAACTACTATGTGTAGCAACTTCCCCTTCTATATCTCTACGTGAAATAAGAGCTTGTGAATACAGGGTAAATCTATAAGCACCATTATCAATAATCCACTGTAATACCTTATCACATACTTCTTGCAATGAAAATGACCCTACATGCCCTTTAACTTGACCTCCATTCTATAAAACCAGATGGCATCATCACTAAAATCAGAATCCAATGTCCTGCTTCAGTTTCTCTTAACAAGAAACCAAAAAACTTAGAAAGAGAAACACAAGGTGGATGATAAGTATCTGAGAGATTCAGACCAAGTGCACCCACAAATGGCCCTTTCCTAGAACTTCACTTCCTTCAAAGGATAGCAGGGTATCTGATATTCTTGTGTGACTGTAGTTGATACCATTTTATGTCAAAGAGGATGACCATGGGTGCATGTCAACAACTCAACATGATTAAAGGTAACGCACAGAGCTGGTCGAATCTAGGGGAAATAGGGTTCCTTAGTTTGTAAATCATTTGGATGTAACTATGAGAGATATATTAGCATATTTCTATTCAATGGCTCATTCAAAATCAACTCTCTCTCTCTCTTGGTCGTTCAGTTGGTCGGTCGTTTGGTCGGTCAGTCGGTCGTTCGTACGGTCGGTCGGTCGGTATGTCTGTCTCTGTGTCTGTGTCTGTGTCTGTGTCTCTGTCTCTGTCTCTCTCCATCTCTCCTCCCCCTTCTTCCTTTCTCACTCTCTGTTCAATCTCTTTCTCTTTATTTATGTAGTAGAAGAAAAGTAGAAGTAGAAGTAGAGAATAATTCATGAACAAATATCAATTACTACATGGCAATACCAAAACAAGAGAAAGATGTTTCTAAATTTTCATTTCATTTATTTATTTATTTGAATTATTATTCTCTTTTTTTCTTTGAAAGGGGATTCTGTGAATACAACAAGAGCACCACAAAAGCAGATATAAGTACAGTTTTACTATATAGAGTGATAGATCCAGAGAGAGGAAGAAAGCCTGGACAGGAAAACAACAATCTATATTTTGTCAAATCCGTCATAAAAACGACGCACCTTTGAAGTGAATGCAAGCCGACATGGCCTAGATAACTGAGCTACATGTAGAATCCTGTCATAATTCAAACTGTCTGTCTCAGCCGATACATCTACCTCAATCTCAAATCATAGACTGAGATAATCAAGACACATGCTGCCGTCCTAGATGGAGTAGGTTTGATTTCCACTCCTACTGTCCCCCTTCTTCATATTCGCATGGCGCGTCGTCTGCCATCAGACAATTTGAAATCTCTGTTTAGTGTTGGAGTGAGCACCTTAACCATTAGATGATTAAAAGTGGTGGTCTCCATAATGGATAGAGAATTTTAAAAATGACTCATAAAATCAAATAAAAATAAAAGGACAAACTCATCAAAAATTGAGAAAGACAGAATAGACACCTTTGGGTCAGCTTGCACAAAGCTTTGTGATATGACAGGTTTTAAATCTGTTCATACACAGTCAGTGATGTTTCACAATGCGCCATGGTCCTTTTAGTTAAATTTAAAAAACAAAATGTCTGAATATAAACAATTGTCACAATTTTATTTAAAAATTGCTCACATCTAGTGTTTAATGCAACAGGTCTATTGGTTTATAAATATCATCACAAAGTAAAATTATGCTGTAAATATTACAGGAAAGGAAGAGCGAACGAACATTGCCGAAAAATAACGTGGCTCGACTTGTTTGTGTCTCCCGGAATTCCCGAGAGGTCAGTGATCTTCTTATTGCTTCCTGCCCTGAAATAAGATAATGATCTGAGAATATCGTTGGACTAATGATCCACGACGTATACAGGGGATATGATTATGGATGAAAGCCAAGCTATAGGGAAAACATGATACAGCCTTGGCATTGCTCAAATATGTATGGGCCTAACTGTCAGCATCATATGTGCTTGGTATGGAAATGCTTTAAACTTGCCAACAATCGTTGAAAACAGCATTTTAAGGGATTGTTTTCAGGGTTCAACACTTTCTAAACAATGGCTGGCACCTTTAATACTCTAGATGATTTGGCTTGTTTTGTTTGGTCTAGCAAAAAAAAAAGTTTGGCCAGGAAATTTTGGGAAATTAATAAAACTTGACAAAATTTCATCACGAACAATACCTTGAGGAACTTTGTTTGCTTTATAAAAGATACAGATATTGCTATTTTGAAGTTTCTTATAATATAATAAATAAAAATAATAATAGTAGGTTCTTGTATAGCACTCATGTCAGCCAGATTTGACCCTCCTGGCGCTCCCGATTATTACTTAACTACAATAATACATATATTAGCTTATAATATACATGAATGCTTACATTGTATTGTTGTTCACATTCTTTTTCTAGATATTAGTGATAATAAGGTGATCTAGTCGATATCTCCTAATTATTTGAGGTGTCACTGAAACATAATAACAATGAAGACAATATTGTGCAAAGCAGGTTCGAGCTCTCAGCTGATGGTACATGTTACACTGGTTTTTTTTTTGCGCATTTAAAGTATTATTTGATAGCGGTGGCTATTCAGAATTGGACCCCCCCCCCCCTTTCACAAAATCCGGGATCAGCCTCTACCTATAATGCAAACATTATCATAATTACCAGACTTGATATCAGTCCAGATGCCAAAGCGATGAGACACCTAGTACAGCCATGTGCAATGTGGAAACTATGGCAACAAATAGCTGTAATTGATGAGGCTTTGTCTGACTGGCAAGCCAATATGAGAGGCAGTCAAACGTAATTCAGAGTTCCAGTAAGAACAGTTCTACAACACATGCATCCTCTGAGAAGTGATCGTTGGTTGTTGGTTATGACATCAATCAAATTCCTAGCTTAAAGCCAATTTGAAATACTCCCAATTGAGCTTCGTTTTGAGATTTTCAATCTCTTAATAATTTGTTTTCAAGTAATAATCAAAATATTGTTGTAAAGTCTAGGCCAGAGTAAGCAATAACAAAATATTGACAACTTGGTGAAAGTGGCACGTAACAACCATTCAAATTTCATTTTGTCTGTGACAACTTCCTTATTTATAATGCTACCCTGCATCCGCCCGTATCCCCCATCCACAACCTTATGGCCCGAATTCACAAAGGAGGTTTGTCGACAAACCTCCTTTTGTTATTTACAAACCAGGTTTGTAAAAAACGTGTCAAAACATGTCATATGACGTACATAAACCTTGGTTTGTCGACAAACCTCCTTTGTGAATTCGGGCCTGTGAGTTTCAAAGTCCCTTAGTACAGAAATGTAAGGAAATCTTTCCCATTGTAGAAGTCTGATATCTCAAGAGGAAATACACAAAGAGACAAGGAAATGCATCCACTCAAGCAAATCACCAGGGATGGCAACAACTATCTCATCTATAGGTATTGACTTGGGAATTGTTCCCCAGATTTCAGGACCATCAAGGCAGGTTTTTAGCGTCTTTATCTGTCTCTAAAATCTCTATTTTCTCCACCCTCCATCCCTGTAGATCATTCTCCATTAGCCAGAAAAAGCTTCAGCTTGCCATATCGGAGCCATCAGTGCTCTTCTCAAGGAATTACACCTACTTCAAAGTTCCTTGTCTCCACTTGCCACAAAGGCAAGCAATCCTAACTTGCTTAAGGAGTTAGCCCAAGCTTTCGAGCATCCAGGGACATCCTCACTGGAAAATTCTCATTGGCCAAATAGCAGGCTCTCTCTCACTATCTCTTGCTTTCTCTCCCAGTTTTCCGCCCAATGTTGTCCTGGTGTGACCCCAGATTTCAAGATGAATTCCTTGGACATCACTGGTCCATTCCTTCCCTCATCCTCTTTGCCTCACACCTAGAATGACTCCCCCCTGGCATGATGCAGGATACCAATATCAACGACCAAGCATCATAACTTCATGTTATCACTATCAGGATTACGAACCATACCCCCACATCCAAAAAATTATATGCCCCCTCCCACCCTACAACAAAGAGGGGAAAATTGTCCTAGGATCAAGCTGTACAATCATAGACGAAGGAGCACAAATGTGATATATATATATTTTAATCTAAAGGGCACTTAATGCATAACAAATTGTGTTTTTGAAAATTACTCACTGAATGACGATTTCTATTGTTTCAATTTTTTTCTTTTTCCATAATTTCGTAAAAGTCCTATACTTAGCAAAGTGCAACCATTGGTGAGGACATTATATTCTTATATTAAAGAGTACGTTTGAAATACCTTAAGTTCTTCATTTTATGTAAACTAAAGTGGCATCTTTGGATTAGTGACGCTATCTTGAAGATCGCATGTAGCATAGCATCTTACCTTCATAGCATAATTCTCTCCATCCTCTTTCCTCTGTACCTTGAGCACCTGACCGTAGGCACCCTTGTTTATCTGATGAAGAATCTGAAAAGATAGAAATCAAGGAAACACAAAGATGAGGAAAGTGCTCTCTGGGTTGTAATAAAATCTGGAAAGGAAGAATGTCCATTGGGAGAATGAGCTTTGTAGTGGATAAGTGTAAGAAGCACCCGAGGGAGAGAGAGAGAGAGAAAAGGAAGAGTGGGAGATATGGATACATAAAGCGGTAATTGGAATACATTAATAAGAGGGGTGGAGAGGTGGAGAGACAGAGACAGAGATGGAAGGGGAAAGGGAGAGGTAGAGAGACAGAGAGAGGATGGAAAGGGAGGGGGAGAGGCAGAGTGAACAAGAGAGAGGGGGAGATGAAAAGGAAGAGAAAGAGAGAGACAGAGGGAGAGAAAGAGAGAGACAGAGGGAGAGAAAGAGAGACAGAGGGAGAGAAAGAGAGAACAAGAAGAGAGGGAGATATGGAAACATAAAGCGGTAATTGGAATACATAAATAGGAGGGGCCATGGAGAGGCAGAGAGACAGAGACAGAGATGGAAGGGGAGAGATGGAGAGACAGAGGGAGTTAAAGAGACAGAAAGGGTCAAATACAGAGACAGAAACAGAGGTATTTAATGAAAAATAGAGAGTAGGAGAGAAAGAGAAGAAAAAAATAGTTACTTTCCTAGACCCTCCGTAACTAATAAAAAAAAGTGATTCACAGTTCACACTATTATTTATTCATCCACGGAGGATAAATGACTTAGAAAAGTGGAGCAAGTTTTATGATGACAGCTAGCTGCAATTCAATGAGGTCTGTAAATGATTATTAACCATAGAATATTGAAGACAGTGTGTTGTATAATTCACCAGGGAACAGACACTTCTCATCGATAACAAGCAGTTCATATCTCATTAAGACAGGAAATGAAAATGAGTTACACAATCTCAAAGTTATGATTTCACAAGAGTAAAGACATAATTGGTCATTGAGAGATAGAAGGGTGTTGTTAACCCTAAGGAAAAAGTATTTGAGTTAAAGGTAGAGACCAGTATGGGAAACTCCCCAATTTCAAAAAATGAAATGGAAGCTCTTATTACCAATCATGTGAAAGAATATGTTTTGACTAATACATGATGATAACAATTTTCTCGGGAAACCGTTTACTAATTGATATATTTGGTAAATTAGTTTATCTATTGTAATGTGATGAATAAAACGCACATGTGCATATTCCCATATACATCTTTCTGTGTACAGTGCTTGTAACTTTTCAAAGACTGAGCCAAATTTCTTATCATTTTGATGATTCCAGAACCTTGCACTACACACCAATACCTAAATGCTCGATGATCAACCTTTTCTGATCGATTCCACAACGTTTCTTTCACAATGAAATCGCTTGACCATACCTGGTCTTTATCTTTAATGACCTAACTCTCAATGAAGAAGATTTAAATTGAATTCATATAAAGCTGTGTTTTCACACAGGGGGTAATAGAGCAAATTATTTGTGAAATTTCTTATCTACCATTAAATATGACATTCAGCAGTACCTGACACGAAAAATATGTTAATTTCTTCCCTTGACTACCTACACCTGTAGTAATTATTATGTTTGAAAAAATATTGGTAGTGTGATTCATATAAATGTCAATTTTAGGTAGATTTATTTTTAATTAATGTGAAAGTGCTTGAGGCAAGCAGCATATATACATCATCTGCTGAGAGCAAGAATGGCTTTAAACCAAATCCTTTTTACAGACTCTTCTTGCTCTCAACAGATGAATCATAAAACCTCATACACTTGAGGTTAAACCCACACAGAATAATGATACCACTAATACCGTTCTGTGTGGGTTTCAAGAAGTACTCTAATTGAACTAGGGGATCGGTTTACATTTCAAAGCCCGTAATGCACAAATTGAAGTTGTACATTGATAGTCTGTGTAATCGGACAATCTCCGGATGAATACTTCGTTAAACGATTAATCATCTGTTGTTGTTATCCTTAAATTTATCTAATATCATACTATAGAACATATAGCACTGCTAAAATGGCATTAATTTCTTGGTATACATATCGCACAGGTCAACTATAACTAGGGTACAAAGCCAATGGTCTCCTCAGTTTCAGAATGAACTTCAGAAGGATATGTATCGATGTCTCATTGATATGATAGACTTGTGAAGAGTTGTACAATGACAAACAGGTCTGTTCTTTAGACTAGTAAAGAGCTTTGCATTTAGACGAGTATTTATCCTGCTTGTATATAACATCAAGTTCCGACAATGTATTAGCGCTAGACAGAGGAAGGATAAGTGCATTTGCTAGAATTCATAATGCGTTTTTTTTAAAGAATTTTCCAAGCAAAAGAAAAAAGATATCAAATCCCCCTCAGTTTAATACAGGATCACAGAAAGGGTATCCATAGTTCATGCACAATTTCTCACTTGCCAGTGCATACAATTGTTTGTTTGATCAATTTCATGTGTTTTGCTATCCATACAATGTGCACTACACTTAATTAACCTTTTCATGTAACACAAATATGCTTTTCATCAAACTAAAATCTATTGCTAGGTTTACATTATGTTCCCGGCAGCCACGGCAGCCCTGTTTGCCTGAATCGTAGTGCGCCGCTTCTGATCTTGGACATTTTTCTCTGTATTCGTGTTTTGTTAGGTCTTGCCAATTTTTTTAATTACCTACTGTTACGTTTTGTTACGTTCACCCCCATTTTCCTACGGCCTACTATAGGTTTATCGTCCTCACCATGTCTGCCGTGGCATATTTTTTTGACAGTTTAAAAAATCTGGCCCGGCATCCACGACAATCACGTTTGCCTATTCCTTCCCCCCGCGTTGTCTCACGTCAATCCCGTTTTTTTGTCCACACCCATCTACACGTCATCAGCTGCCCGCTAGAGAACCGTTACTGCCACAGACAATACATAGCTACTACGGCCTTCTTGCCGCACACCTATCAAACTATGCATGACTGCTAGGTTTATGGAATTGATTAAAATACCGGTAATATCAATGTCAGGAAGCCTGAACATGTCTGCTAGAAAAGAAACTTCTTAGTTCATGCTTCAAACAGCACATATCAATATTTGGTAAACAGTATCATGTTCAAGATGAATATCATATATATCCCAGCAGACAACAAACACTGAAAACACATTACTCCACCCACCCACCCACGGTGCCTTTAATCTCCATCCCTCTAGCTGTTTGCAGCCTGAATTGGCTTTCCATCACGTCATTCAAGCATAACAAGACGTCTTCTCTAATGGCCCGCTAGGGTTGGATGACGGTGGTGATGCTCCCGTGAAGTAGACTCCAACATCACATCCTAAAAAGATAAAAGCTGTAGTCATGTCCAGGGAATCCTCATCACCCCCATACTACAATTACAGACGTCCATCATCTTGATGTACGCATGAACATCTCATAATAGCATCTTCAAGCCATCTCTCCTTCCAAACTCCAATTTCATCTAAAGGTCACATGTTTGTATGTGTTCATCCACTCCGTCTTGTCTCTCACAATCAATTAGGGATTCCCCCTTTGTGAAGGAAAATGATTTCAGATATGGATGGGTGACATTTTGAATATGAAGAGGATTGAATATATTGTTTCAGTATTTTCCTGTAAATGTCAGGTGTTGATGGGAATCCAAGGTTCATTAAAGCACCGTGTTCCAGATTCGTTTCTCCGTTTTACCCTAAACCATACTTCTTCTTTACATTTTATATTCTCTCTAATCTCTTTCCTCTTTCCTTTTTTCATTTGTTCCAATTCTCTGTGTACAATTTATCTGTTCTTTATAAGTTTTGTTTTATAATCCAAAATCTGCCCCCTCCCTTCCTGTGTTTGGTTCCCCTTTCCCTCGCCTCAAACACAACTACAAGAAATCTTCACTTGGCTTAATGATAATCCACACATCAGGGTAGACAAAATGTAAGATAAAGATTCAAACTCATAATACTGATTATCTATAGAGCTCCCCTTCCATAACAAAAAACCCATCTAGAGATGCATCTATCTATATTGTTATTGTTTCTAATTTCAGGATGAATAATGCAAATGAAATTGTTCCATGTAGCATGCAAAGCACATGAGACATGCACGGCAGACAACTGTCTACTGTCTAAAAGCAGATAGATCTGCCGTTGCTACGTAACCTCATCAAGTTATCTCACTCGGCAATCAAGCATGACAGCATTGTCCGTTTCCTGTCCCATGTTACAGACGAGGTCATTACCCATTGCAGGTGTAATAGGCCTGTCTTCATCAGCTTGAGATTGCCAAATATCCTGCTATTTGAATTATCCCGATCCAGTTAATTTGCTTCTTCGTCAGCCCGAAGTTGCTATTAGCGGGATATTTGGTCGAGATAATCATCCCAAGATATCTTGGGCTAGTTTGCAAAATATCCCGCTACTTGTCACATGCTTCTTCACCAGCCCTAAGACTCACACTATGCGCAAACGCTGAGCAAGATATCTCAAGTTAATTTTTCGAGCTCGAGTTTCAAATTTCGAGCTGATGAAGTCGCTATTTGTAACTTCGGGATTATTTCCTGAATCAGAAATAGCAGGCTATTTGGCGATCTCTAGCTGATGAGGACGTAGGCCTAGTGTGATACGAGACTGATACAATTGTACCGCTTCGGAACGTGAGACGGCGGCGTATGAGGGACGATGTGAAAGAGTATAGGTCCTATAAGACGTGGGAAGAATGATAGGTATGCGGGCATAGATGGATGGATGGAAGGAGAGGACTAATAAAGCATTCTGAAGTGTAGTTTACACAAATCATGGTAATGAGATTGAAAGAATGGAGAGTGGAATGGAAGGGACGAGGATAGATGGAGAAATGGGATCAGGAAGATGAAAGAAGGCAGGGGAGAAAAAAGGGAGAGGAAGGGGAACAAAGAAGAGCAAGGATACAGAACTTTGTGAGAATGGAGAGAAGAGATCAATGGTAGGTTGAGGGAACAGAAGGAGATATGGGAGGAGCAAATAGAGAGGGAGTAGAGAAGGGTTA